CGTGCGATCTATTTCATAAACCAATAGCAACTACTAAGATTTCCCTCTTTCCCTAAATTAAGACATTTTACGGATTTTACTTTGCAAGATTTTCCCTAACATATAACCAAGGAGCGCAACTTTTCGTGTACACTTTCTCATGACTGCTCTGTCCTAATAATTAATAAAGAAATTTTGTACCCTCCTTCCCGACCTATGACCTGTTTTAATCCTTCCACTCGGCAACGACGTTATATATATACATATATATATAAATCCACGAAAAATGGCTATTTTAATTTAACTTAGTAATATAATATTTTATATGCAACTAAAATGTAAAACTAATCAGGCATGGGAGTGGGAAAACGAACAAAAAGCCTGTCAAAGATACAATAACAGCAACTTTAAAACACATTACATTGCATTACTTTATAATACACATTACAGTAATTACTGTATAATACCCATTACAGTACATTATAATATACATTACACTACATTACTTTATTATATACATTACAGTAATTACTGTATAATACACAGTACAGTACACTATAATACACATTTCAACTTAGACTAACTAAGCAACCTAGTACTTACTTACAACCTAGGCTTAGTAAACACATTACACTGCTTCACTTTACAATACACATTACAATAAATTACAACTTAGACTAACTTCACCTAGTACTTATTTACAACTTAGGCTCAGTAAAGACATTACACTGCATTATTTTACAATACACATTATATTTTATAATATTACTTTATATTGCAACTTAAGCTAACTAAACGCATTACTTTCCAACTCAAATTACAATATATTACAGCTCAGACTTACTTAACAACTTAGTACTAACAACTACTTAGTATTAACAACTTAGTACTAACTTAACAGCTTAGTTACAACCACTTAAGATTAATAAACATATTACAATACTTTAAAATATATTACCTGCATCAACAGTACCAAACTCTCTTTCCAATAATGCAATCAAAGATACGGATGTCACAACAACAACACCAATCAACTGTAGCCTTAAATTGAGCCACTGGGAGGCTGCAGACATTGCTAAACAGGCTCGCACATTCAAATCTATGTGCTCCAGCATTTCTTTAAAAAATCTTAAAAAACAGAACACTTATGTTTAAAAAAAATGTCGCTTTTGTAACACCATTAATACAGAATAGAACAGTTTAAAATATGACTTATTTTCAAAAGGTAACCAAATAAAAAGTACATCGACTATCAAATAATTAGGTTAGTTAGTAACTTTGGAGTTAATGGAACAAAAGTCAGTTATGGCCATATAGCACCTACATATATATTATATAACTCTATTATTATTCTATTACTCTATTATGGGTAAAAAACTAGATAGACCTATTATAGGGGTGAACCCTGTAATAGATCAAATTAGAAAAACCCTGATAATTTTATGCGCAAAAACTTTAAAACAAGATATCAATTTATATACTATTCACATTTAATATAATTTTTTGAACAAAGATTTATTAAATTACCTACCAATAAAACACACTTTAATAGTAACCAAAAAACTTAGTTCTTACAAGAATCGTGATATTGGATTTTAAAATCGTGTGGATAAAAATCACGATGCATGATTTTTGAATCCTGTGAAAACAGATAGCGACATTGGATTTTTAATTTGTGTGAATACAAATCGCGATATTGATTTAAAACGTGAAATACAAATTGCGATATTGAATTCTTAAATCAAGCAAATTGTGTGATTCTTAAACTACCCGAATACAATTCACAGTGAGTAAGTTTTAAACCAGGAAAATACAAAAGTCGATGTTTGATATTAAAATTGGATGAATATGAATCACAAAATTAGCGGATTTTTGCATAATTTCAAATATTAAAAATGATGAAATCTGACAAACAAACAAAAATCAAAATTGCGGAAGAGTCATGAGTATGAAAATGTCTCATTAACCAAATTTAGCAAAGGTTTCAAAATTTCAATTTTAGATTGTAGAACTTAATTCTTACTTTAAATTTTAGATTAGGGTGGAGATTTCATCAGATTTTAAGTTATTATTCGCGGATGATTGAATTGTCTTGAGATACACAGAATTCTGCAAAAAAAATCACATGTCCACAAAGCCACAAAAACCTCCCACGGTTAGCCTGACGGCAAGGGGATTCTAATCCATGATCCGTCTACCACTGAGGATATTTTACATCAGCACTGTGGTCTGTGCGAGCCATTGTCGACATCAACCAGCCATTGTCGGGATTCAAACTTGGTTCACCTCATGCTCTATCCTCTGAGCCACTGTGGCTCACAACTTATTTTGACCGCACGTTACTTAAAATCCTGATATTTTTAATGTGTACACGGATGTCAAATATCGGTTCTTTGTAATCATTTTTTGATTAACTTCATTTGTGAGGAAAAAGAAATATAAATTAATATTAGTAGAAAGGTGTACAACAATCTTAAAAAAAACCTTATTAAAAAAATTATTAACATAAAAAAAACTTATCAATATTGAATACAAAATCAGCATCACTGCTGTGTGAACACTTATATAAAAGCAACTACAATTTTTTATGACTCTGGTAGCCAGTTCCCTAATTGCTGGCCTAGAGCGTTAGTGGGTAACGTAAAAAAATCAGTAAGGGTAACCTAAAAATTGAGTTAGGAAATATTTTAGTTACTGTGGTATGACTGTAATGATAATTATTCTTAGAAATTCGTCCATATGCTGATTGCAAGGAGACAAAATTAAACAGATATAATCTCAAACAGATAATAAGATTAAAAAAAGTCATATAAAATTTATGTCAACAAAAATCACCCAAAATAAAAGGAAACCGAAAAAAAGAATGATACCAACTATTTAAAGCCACTTTTGCTTGTTGTAAAACATAAAACAAAAACAAATTTTAAAATATTTAAAAAAACATACCTCGAAGATGCTGCCATCACTCTAATTGTAGTTTGACCACACAAGGTTTCTGACAAGTGAGCATAAATTGGAGATAAACTGATATTAGTGAGGCGCTTCAGTTCCCTAGATGTCCAACGATAATATCGCTAAAAGAAAACAAGGACTATATATTAACTATTTCAAGATTCTCCTACTAATAACATATAACGCATAGCTTTAAAAAATTCAATAAACTTTCATGGCTAAATAAATATCCCCACAGCAATGTCTAATTCAAATAGATTAAGAATTGGTAAAAAATCATTGTACACAATAAGTGGAAAAAATTCCAGTTACTTTTTGTTTAAGATATTTTATTAAAATTTTTAAGGAAATATTAAATTCAATTTTTGTGATCATATTAAAATTCCAACAATTTTTAAACAAGATAAAATTACAAAGTGGTTTAGAGACCAGAAGAAAATTAAAAAAATGTATTTGTAAACACTAACTCCCATAAAAAGTGCAATCAGTCTGTAATTTTAAAACCTCTTCTTTATCATGCCATATGTTCTTCAATCTTTTCTTTTTATGTATGCGTCAGAAAACAAAAAACATTTGAGGGTGAGGTTTCGGCTATCTGTGTGGCACTGGAGTAACTTGTCTCTAGACGCCTTTAATAATAAGGTGGTTATCTACCCGACTCCAAAGCTGCCAAACTGGCTTATCAGATCTAGGGAAATACTCATCTCTAAAAATGCACAAGATTGTCGGCTTCTTCTGGAGAAGTTGAGGACCGAGGAACAACAAATCACACTCCAATGGATCCCAGGACACAGCGATATTCGCGGCAACGAACAAGCACATATGTTGGCCTAGAAATGCACTCAAGTAATTCACCTGCCAAACACTTCTAGCTCTGTCCATTCTACAAAACCGTTAAAAATATAATAAGGCAAAATTGAAAAGCCTTGCTCACTTCTCGTGTTTCTTCAAGAGGTTGGAGGAATAGCTTAGACCAAAATATTTCAGATAAGCCCTGTAAAAGGGCTGTTGCAGAATTCAGACTCGCAGTAGGCCATGACTGCCTAGTGAACCACCTTCACCGAATTTGCATTTTCATGAGCCCTAATTTCACACTTTGTGGAAGAGGCGAAATCATGGACAGGATGTGTTGGGATGCTCGGCTCTGCGCTGAGGGTTCCGAGGTGGAGCGATGCGTTTAAAAACATTGCGACTGATCCAAAAACAAAGGAAAGTGGGTTCTATATGAACTGAAGCTAAGAGACATTGAACGTAGATTTTGCATGAAAATTGATTTTGCTATTTAGAAACACTTCAATGGGAAGTAATACCCCATCCGCAGCATTTACCATACCTTGCCCCTTTAAATTATCACTTATTCCGTCGACGGCACATGGTCTGTCTGAGCAGAAATTTACATCACTTGAAGAAACCAAAGAATAGGTCAATTCGTGGATATCCTCGAAAGATGAAGAGTTCTTCCGACCTGGTATCCGAATGCTCCCAGAAAGATGGGGAAAAATAGTGTCTAGTAATGGAGAATACTTTGAATAAAATATTATGTACCATTTTTCACAATAAATAGCTAATTTTTGATTTTAAAAAATGGCGGAAACTTATTTGTGCTCCCAGTAAGATAGAACTTTATAACAGTGAAGGAAAATAACTTACTTGTATATTAAAATAAAGCATTGATAATACAAAAATGATGATAATAATCCATGGAAGACCATAACATGTGATGAAAATGCACCCAGCCAATGAGAATACTTGGGCTAATAGAATATTTACAATAAATGGAAGTGTATCGTCTATGCAATAGACATCGGATGAAAATCTATTCATAATCCGTCCCAAGGGTGTGACATCGAAAAAACTGACTGTAGCCTGTAAAAGAAAATATACATTCATAGATGAAGTTTTAAAATTTGATATTTTTAAAAATTAGAATAAAATAATGATAGCAAACAAAAAGCTTTATCGGCTTACAAGTTTAAATATTTTTTTGCAGGTCTGGGGACAAAATTATAATACTCAGAATATTTATTTTAAGTACACACAAAATAAATTCAAAATTCTTGCTTCCAACTGCTAAATACAGTCGGACTTCACCTTAGCGAACTTCCATTTTGTGAATTTTTCTATTTCGCGATTTTTTTTCCAAGGAATCAAGAATATTTTGGACATTTCTTCTTAAAATATATTCCAAATAGCGAAGTGAATTTTTTATTTAACAAACTTTTCTTTGCGATCCACTTTTCCTATTTTCCCAAAATATCTCAGAACATTTCAAACTTGTTTATGCATTTTATAGGGGAAATGACCTTGAATTGATTTCTTAAGTCACTCACTTAACTTACAGAGAAAGCAATAAAATCCGTTTCCCTTTTTGCTTCCATTTCAAACGATGGATACTCAGATGGATACTGGATACTCAACGATGGATTCACGAAAAACCCAGACAAAATTAAGTGATTTTATCAGTAGCAATTAAACTTGAGAATGCATGTGGTAATGTATCTTTAAAATTACTTTTATAATAAATGCAGCTATAATTATACACACAAATTTAGCTTTTTTTTAATTGAAAATGCATATAGCATGATAGAGTAACACTGGATAATGTTTTGCAATTGCTATTTTAATTATGTGTAGTATTTATGAATTTAAAACCTGTTTTGTGTTGTTTAAGTATTTCAAAAAGTGATTTTTTATTTAACAAATTTTTCATAAAACCAAACTATTATTAGGATTCAGCGACTTTGTTAAATAGAATGTACACTGTATATACCAAATTATTTGGTATACACACTGTATATACCAAATTATTACAATGTCCACAATTAATTAATAAAACCACTGCCTTACAAAATTGGCCGCTTTTTAAAATCAAATCTACAAGGATGGAATCATTACAATACCAAAACAGGGGAGATTTCCATATTGTGATTTGTGGTAGAATAATCACCAATTCTATGTAACTTCCGGGCAGAGGCCCACAAGAAACTAAAAAAAAACATCAGAGAAAGGGACCAACTCAAAATGTATAACTCGTAACCACCCCTGGGCAGACATCTGCATGTTTTTCTTTTTTTTAAATTTGCAAGTATAAAATCGATTTGGCACCTTGGCAATTGTAGTTGGCGCAACAAATCACGATATGGAAATATCCTCCTAAAACATACCAAAACCATCCTTTTATAAATTCGTTATCACTATTTTGTAAAATAAAATTATTGTAGGTCATTTGTTTTAGAAAACTGAAAAACTTTGCTTTATCCTTTCTGAACAACTACAATTTTCTACATTCGCAAGTTTTGAAAGCACATAAATGACAAAAAAAAATTTATTTCTACCTGAACAAACAAAAAAATAACAAATTTTATTTATTGATTACTTGAATTCTTACATCTATCATTCAAAAATTCTATCAGCATTTAACAAAAAAAAAATATTTTAATTATTTTGAGGGGGAAAAAACAGTAACTCCTGAAGCTAATGATGAAGAAAAATTGAGGAGTTACAGGTAGGATAAAATGCCTAATATTTGTCATTTCCCCGTGTCAGTTCCTTGAGAAATGATTGATCGAGGTTCTACTATATTACATTTTGTAAAAAACAGAACCGCCTGAGCAGAGAGATTCCTAAATACACAAGTATTTAAATTATAGATAAAAACAATATTTCACAAAATAGAAAAAAATTTAAAAACCTGACATTTCATTGAGAGTCACATGATAAAGTGAATGCTTACCTTGACTATACGTTGGAGAAGAGAATTGTGTAAAAATAAGGCTGCTTTAATGCCTGCCCACGCAAACAAGAACGCTCTGAAAAGTGTGAAGATACTATTGATGAGAGCTAATCCCCCATAAATGTATAAATAGAATGAAAGACTTCTATTCTTTTTTCCTGAAAGATCTCCCATTTCCCTGTAACAGAATATGTTTTGTAAAATATGTTACATGTTTTTAGCAATAAAAGTAAGAATTCAATTTTAAATCATAAATGCAAATTATAATAAAAATCCCATTTGAAAAAGAATACAGAAAAAATGAAATCAGATTCAAAACATGAAAAGCAATACAATTTATAAACCAAAGCATACAGGCCACATTTTAAATATAAACTTAACAAAGTACAAAATTTTATTCTAAAAGCTGTTTTTGATTAAAAAACACGTCTAATTTTCATTTATATAAATATTGTTGCCAGAAGAGAAAGGAATAATAGGGAAATTGGAAGGGCCCTATTAAAAATTATAAATTATCATAGAATCAACCAAAATGTAATAACTCAGTGCTGACACCTATCAAACAGATTTAATTAGAGAAAGCATGAAAAAAACTTTCTAACAAAATAAAACCCAATATTCACCAAGTTCTGTTTATTTGATGTTGAATATTGGCCAAATTGGATATAAGACATGAATTTGCTCAAAGTATATTTAATCAAAATTATAATAATTAATCATTAAATAAAAAACTATATGTTAACAAGTTTAGTTCGAAATTTTTTTTTATTATTTTAATAAGCTTTATTTTATTATTGCAAAAAAAAAAAATTCCCTTGCAACTGAAAATAAAAATATTCCTAAACATTTTAAAATATAAATTAGAGTTAAAACTAGTAATTGTAATAACATTAAAATCCTTTCTTTTATCAATTAAACTTTGCATATCATCTTTATACATTTCAATATCTAGAACAAAAAAATTAGTTCTCGGTTACTTGTTTAATCTCACATTCTCAATACATTTTGACTAACAACAGTTTTTCATTTTATTAATCTTTAATTAAAGGACCAAATAACTACCACAGTGTCTCCTTTAAACATAAAAACATGCACTTAATTCAATAACTGCATATAATGTTATCATATCCCTAATACATCAGAATTATAAGATTAATGTGAAAACAACATGTAACTCAAAAAGAAAAAAGTAAATAAAAAAGACTTACTCGAAAGCTGAAAAATTTGAGGAGCAGTTGCTGCAAACAGATGATACCCAGTATGATAACCACCAGTCAGATGTTGTTCTAGAAGCTAAAATATTAAAAAAAGTTATGTGATTGTAAAAAATAATATATAATATTGTTTATATATTGGTTTCGCAACTGGTAGCAGAATTAAAGACAAAATCTGCAGCATTATCTTCTAAATCTAATCTAAATTTAAATCTAATTTGCCTACACAGTGGCATAGTTTTAATGCATATTAAAAGGAGTTACTGATTATCTCCCTCTAATATATATTAACATAAAAAGCTTCAATTAAAATTTTTATGTTATTCCTTTTCTGTAAATCATTTTCTTAATTTATTATTCAAATTGAAATGCTCATTCTCACACTTTAAAATCCACATCATGTCTTTTTATCTATTTTTAGTTCAAGTATGCATTAATTACCATTCTGGTGATTATCTTTCTAACTAATTAGTGAGAAAGACTTTTTTTCCTGGACAGATTTAACAGACCAATAACAATTATTAATTTTTCCCTCATTCCCTAAAATGAAACATTTTACGGATTTACTTTGCAAGATTTTCCCTAGCTTTTATTGAAGAGCACAACAATTTCGAGTCCACTTTTATAGCTGCTCTCACTCTAATAATTAATAAAATTTTGTATTCTCCTTCCCTACCCAAGACCTGTTTTTATCTTTCCACTCTGCAACAACGCTATGAATATATATATATATATATNATATATATAATAGCGGGCACTCGGAACTATTGTCCATTGGCCACAGAAAGTGCCAGAACTGCTAACTCTCTTTTCGTTACCCAGTGGGCACCAGTGGCGAAGCCACGGCGGTGGAGCAGCGTCGCCCACGTCACACTACCACTTATAGGGCGGGTCATATTCACACACAAAGGAGAAAAGACATAGAACACGGATAGAGAAAAAGAAACATCCATGCCTTGTCCGGGATTCGAATCCAGAACCTTTCTGATGCAAGGAAAGTTTCCTGCCCCCTACACAGGCCGGTCGGCGTATATATATATATTCTAAATGTTTAAATTACAAAAAATAAAAACTTCTTCATATCTCCATCCTGCTTACCGTATAGTAGTTCATTAATCAAGTACTGTTTAATTTCAAGGAAGAGGTTGTTCCCCCCAAACAAATCCCGAAACTACACTACTGCGCCTATGTCCCCAATGCAAATACACTAAGATTGTTATTGTTACAATTAATCTTAATTTAACAGATGTAGTGAAATTTGAGAAGGTATTTAAAAATTATACAGAAAAACTTCGTTACCTAAACTTATTTTGAATGAACAATACAAAAAAAAGTGAAATTAATCCTTATACAGTATAAGACTGTAATCAATCAACTTAGAGGGGAAAAAATGCCATTACTTTTTATTCTTTGAGGTGTTCTTTCAACCCTGCTTTACAATTTTGGATTAATAACAAATTTAAAAATGACCTGTTTTGAATGACACAGGAATAAGCAGTTCTTTAAAAATCGTAAATTTGTCAACAAAAACAAGAAAAAGAGAGAGAGATACTCTTAAAACTTTAATTCTTCTAGTGTACTTTAAAATAATATTTTTAAATAGTACTTTTTGAAAAAAATAAAAAAAGTTCTGCACAACATTTTGGGTACATTTTTAAAAAACTTAGCACACTGCAAAAAATATTCAAAGCTGATTCAACACATGATAACAGCCTATGCTGGAGATGGCAAAAATTTCGAAAGTAGCACTCTGGAGGCACAGTTAAGGTATTGCTCTTACTGCTGGAGGAAAGCTGATTGTCATAAGCTTGTTCCGGGCAGATGACTAAACACCTGGTATATACATTAGCAAGTTGCATGCTAAATCTATTATACCTGAAAGTCTCCTCCTTAGTTGTGATATGGAAGTTGGGGTACAAGTTCTGCTGCTGTCCACTACCTCTGACCAGGGTGAAAATTAATTGGTTCTCTTACCATGGCCATTGAAAGATAAGAGCCCTACAAAAACAAGTGCTAACTATGGTTGGATGGTAATTAACTCCATAGAAGAAATAAAAGTAATATAGAGGATTATAAAGAATATTTTTTACAAACGAATATAACAGAGTTGTGGTGGCTCAGGGAATAGAGCGTTTGCCTCCCGATGAGGTGAACTGGGTTCTAATTCGAGCAATGGCTGCTCGATATGAATTTCGCATCTAACTTGTACCAATCACAGTTCTGATATGAAACATCCTCAGTGGTAGACGGATCATGGATTAGAGTTCCCTCGCCGTCAAGTTAACCATGGGAGGTTCTCACGGCTTTTTTCTCCATGTAACGCAAATGCAGGTTAGTTCCCTCAAAAAGTCTTCACAAGGGCAAATTTCTCCCAATACTTGATCCAGGAGTCCCCTTGTCATCTAGTTTGGGTTCAAAATTACAAGGCTATGGAACTGAACATCGGTAGTCGTAAGCCCAAAATTGGGTCAGCTGTTTAAGGACAGTTATAACATAAAATAAAAAAGAATAAGTGGACACATGAAAACAATGAACTACATGTTATCTAACCCACATCTCTAGCTTGATGCCATTCCCATTGTTTAAAGGTATATGCAGAAATGTATCCTATTCAAAATAATAAAAAAAAAACTTGAAAGATAATAACTTTTTTGTTATCTTTGGAATGAGGCATTGTAAAATACTTGGCAACAACTCCAAAAATATTTAGGAACTATGTAATATAGAGCAATAATAATAAATAGTATAAATATATTAAAGAACAAAAATACTAACCTTGCATAAGAAAGCAAAACAAAAGCACAATAACTGATAAAACTGGCCCTACAGCTTTCCAATAAGACTTGTAAACGTGAAAACTAATCACACCCTCCATTTTTTCCTCATCTTGCACCAATTTCTGAACTTCAATACTTTCAAGACTCACTTCCTTATCCATTGAAGCAAAATCTTGTTTATACTCATCTCTTTCTTCGTTACCCAAAAAATAGAGCTGCAATGTTTTGCTCGGTGGACCTGCTCGACATGGAAAGAAAATTATGATAAAACAGTAACTTTTTGTTTTCAAACATATTTGAACATTAGAGAAAAAAAATCAATAATCCTCTGGGACCAGGGCTCTAAACAATCAAAGAAAATATGATTTTTACTTAAAAATATGAAGCTTAGAAGAAGTAAACTTATTAAAAAGCAATAAAATGCTTTTTTTGAAGAAAAAAATTCAATTACTTGAATTTTATAAAGTTTTTTTGTATTTTATATATTTTAATTATTTCATAAATTTTTTTTTAATTTTTTTGCATTTTTTTGAATATTATTGGATGTTTTTATAGTTTATTTTTTTACATTTTGGTCATGAAGAAAAATTCTCTGAACTTACATAATTAGATATTTATATGCCATAAAACTATCCAAAAAATTACTTGAATCAAATTTCTTACCTTTCTTATAATTTTTCATTGTCATTAAAATCCCACGACAAAGGTGGGGAAAACTAATTATATTTCTTTTAAATCAATTGCTTTGCAAAGACACACAAACAAACAAAAAAACTTAAAATATTATTTTTTAAGGGCTAAAATTATACCAAAAATGTAATTTGGATCTAGAGGATATAATGAAACTTCACTTAGTCAACATTTTGGGGTCTAAATAAAGACATTTTAATGGAAGATTATATTCCTATAAAAAAAAAAGAAGACAAGGAATATTTAAATAAATATAACTATTTGATTCGTTTTCTAAATGGAAACATTCCATATTGCTTTTGATCCTGAGAGAAAAGAACTTTATTTTTCACTAAATTTTATTAATTTTCTTTAATTTAAACAAAACTGTCACTCACACAATTCAAAATGAAGATGCATACTAAATTTATGAGGAACAGAAGAATTTCCATTCCAATTTTCATTTACTTAAGAGCAATAACACTTACTTAAGAACAGTAAGTAAATATTGCAGAGCATTAAACACAGATATTCAGCAGCATTATACTACAGTGGAAAAAAATAAAATATAAACCATATGTAAATCATAGAAAATCTGGTTCTTAATCCATACTCTTTTGTCATATTTAGGCAGATCTTCGAGTTGAGGGACATTGAAATATATAACTAACAACACATGATAATTTTGCAAGTAATATAAAATTTCATTTCTATAGAAAAAAGGGATTTATTTTTAAAAAATAATAAGCATAATATACCATTATGTATTTGTTTCAAAACTTACAATAGGGTAAAAGAGTTACATAATAACCCTTTAACTCACATTTATTCAATTTACAATTGTATATATAAAGCCTTATTCAAAATACAGTGAACAATAAAATGTGCAATGAAAATTTAAAAAGGTTGTGGAACAATACTATTTCTTTCATTTTAAATAACAAGAAATTTTAAAAAATTGATTTATTAACTACTAATTCACTTGCAATTAACTCAATATTCTCAAATTATCTTGAGACATGCATAAAGATTTGTTTCCATTCCCTGCAGAATTTTTTTCTTAAGTCTAAACACATAGTGGGGGAAAGAGGATAGGTAGCTAGCTACTTTATTTACCCGCCCGCTTACCACCTGCAAGCAGCGATGCTTGACTTTAGTGTTCTACTGGAAAAAGTGCCAATCATTCCACTGCTGGACAGGAAGAGGATAGAGAAGCCCATTCAGGATGCGTAGCCAAATTATTCAACAAAAAATAAGCATCTTTTAAGCACTTTTCAATGATCAAATAATATTTTTAAGCACTTTAAAAAAATCACAATTAGGTAGGATTGGAAAGTTTTTGACAATTGTCAAAATTTTTGAATCATGTAAATCGAATAGAATTTTGATGTGCTACGGACTGACGATACGCCAAAATAGATTGGGGTTGAATTAATTGTGAAAACGTTGAAGAGTGAACAATGTTTTTCTGCATAATTCGTAGCGAAAATCAACATGGTATGGAAAAAATCTTATTTTGGAAAAGGGAAAATTAAGCACTTTTTAAAAACACCCAATAGAAAAAGCACCTTTAAGGGCTTTTAAAAAACGAAAATAAGCACTTTTTAAAAACACTATGCACCCTGCCATTCATAATGAAAAAAAGTTGTCAGTTTCAATCATAAAAAAAAAATTTCGGTCAGGAAAAAGGTTAATCCTTGCAGTATTATAACTTATGTAAGATTATGTAACAGCACTTTTAAAAAACTATTATTCAGATCAAAATAACCAAATATATATAAATAAAAATTTAATAATATTTTTTATTAATATATAGCATTGAAATTGATAACTTTAATAAAATACCTTGGCTGACCACCTGCCCTTCAGACAAAATCATCAAATGATCGCAATTTTCAGCAAACTGTGTTTTGTGGGTGCACAGAATACGGGTTTTGTCTTTTAAAATACCCATAATGCAGTTGGAATATATGTGTTCGGCAACATGTGCATCAACAGCTGACAGGGGATCATCAAACAAATAAATATCAAAATCCTAAAATAAAATATTATAATAAAAGAAACGTATAACATATATCAGGACAATCTATTTAGAAAAAAAAATTCCATAGTAATTAAATTTTGATACAAACCTCTATAAGTGGGGCAAAGCTAACTTTAAAAAACCAACAAGGCAAGCACAGCTTGTTTGTAACATTCTCTATTGGTTTTAACGAATGGTGCTTTTTATCCCACATTTTGGTGATTTATTAAAGTTAAAAGATAATTTATGTTCAATGCACTTAAATAGGAGAGAAAAAAAATTTATGAATAATAGTCAAATATATTTGCAACTAACAATTTTTTTGATTCACTGGTTATTGCACTTACGAGGAATAAATTTATTAATTATTATTGCCTGTTCTGTAATTTAAATATTTATAATTATTGTTATCTGTGATTTAAGCACTATCCTTAGCATAACCATTGATCATAAGAAGAATAAAAGTGTATCAATATAATTCAATAGTTCTTAGAACTGATAATTGCTAAGACTACAGTAGACCCAAAAAAAAAATACAGCTTATGATAATTTATATTTTTCAACTATAACAGTTCGTAAAAAAAAATTATAATTATATAAAGGGAAGGTTAACAATGTGAAATTTATAATATACAATAATGAGTATAGTGAAAAGCCAAAAAAGTTGAAAATAGAAATTTTAAAATGTTAAAATAAATAATTAGAAAAAAAAAGTTATATTTGAGCAAGAAAAAGAGTGTAAGTTGGAAGCATGTATAAATAGAATATTATCGATAAAATAATGAAAAACAATGATGCCCGATTTATTTAATTGTATGAATAGGAATCTCGATGTGTGATTTTTAAATCATGTGAATACGAGACCCAATATGAGATTTTTAAATTATGCGAATATAAATCTCCCTATGCGTAATATTAAACTGAGCGAATACATATTGCAATGTGTAATTTCAAATTGTGTGAATAACAATCCTGAAGTGTGTGTTTGTGTAAGTAGGTACAATTACAAAACAATTTTGTTTCTTGTATTTCTAAAAAGTAAAACTTTTTTTGAAAAGGCAAAAAAAAAAAATTTAAACTGAATTGAAAAAAAAAAGACGAAATTCTGTCCAACAGCGGACAAAACTCGCCCCTGCGAACATAGAAATTTTTAAAAAATAGACCTTTTTTTGAAAAGGCATAATTTTTCGTTCTACTTAATTGGAAAAAAAAGCCAGAATTCTGTCAAAAAGAAGACAAAACTCACCCCTGCATACATAAATAAAAACAATACTTTATATAAGAATATGAAAAATTAATTCTGAATCTATCAGCTTGGAGAACAGCACAGCAAAACTACACAAATTGTTATGTATCTAAAACCAATTTAAAGCAAGAAATTGTTTAAAAAAATTGTTAAAACTTACATTTAAATTTTGATAATCGCAAGAAAATTAAATCATGTCACCTTCATAATTATAATACATAGTCGTTGGCATTCTAAAAAATGTACCAAAATGACAAAACTGATCCTTGATTTTGATTCATTTTCTCAATATTTGAGTTCAATGCAACTTTTTATAGGTCTCTGAACAGTTCTAGAAACTGAAACTACAAAATTATTTTGTAAAACAGAGCTTATCTTAAATAATAAAAATATCCAAATACTACTTCATTGATAGCAAAGCATTAGAATTTCTGTTAACATAGATTATCTAGTTTAGCCAGAAAAATTAAAGTTGTGCCATTCAAAAACTATGAAAAAATAAACTTCAGTTTAAAAACCAAGAAATATTTTTTCAAGAATTTTTATTATAATTTTTAGAGTCTCGCAGCTTTCTCATAGTTTTCTAAAAGCCTAAAAATTTTCCTTGATTTTTATCTACTCTATAAAAATGATACACCTTATAAACTTGGGATTAAGTTATCCTTCTATGAACAAAATGATTGTGTAACAAAAACTTAACTCATTATCAATAAGAAATAAATGAGGATAAAACAAAGCACTCAGATTATGATGATTAACATCGCTAGATGCACATAATCACGATCAGCACATGACATAAAAAAAATTTAAAAATTTNCTTAATTCGTTTACATCCATCTTTCTTGTTTTCTGCCCTGGAAAGGGTTTATTCGATTAACAAAATAATAATGAAGATAAATAAATTTGTGAAGGGTCCGATTAAAAGAAAAATCATTTTGTGAAGGGTCCGTTTTTAAGTTAAAACATTTTGTGAAGGGTCCGTTTTTATGAAAAGATATTGTGTGAAGGGTCCATTAACGAACCCAAATTGCTTCTAAACAGAACCCTGTATACACACATAAAAGGTAGCCGGTCTGAGTTGGGAATCATTTTATTATTTTGATTGTACAGAGGAGCATCAAAAACTTTTCTTAAAACCAAAGCGATTTATTTTTAGAGAAAAGTGCTGCTAAATCCCTAACTCTGTCATAACAACAAGTAAAAAAGAAGGGTAAATTAACAATTTTAAATGGTTTTCCTCGTTTAGATCGAACTATGGGTTCTTCCCTCAGGGAAAAACTTTTTATGATAATTATTCTTAAGAAGTGTAAGCATTATTCTTTTTAACAGGATATAGTTTTTAATCATGAAATGAAATCTTTTAATAAAATTTTTTTTGGATGATAAACAAAGAAAGAGGTTTGAGAGAAAGAATTAATATAAAAAGACTAATTACAGGTTTTTTAAATCAAGTAAAGTGCATCTTTTACCCAAAGCCCTCGATCAGTATAAGTATAGCTAAACAATAACAAGGGAGAATCACGACTGGGTGAAATGTTTTTCAAGTCATTGAATTGCCAAACTTGGTAATATACCATGGCTTTGCATCCCTCCCCCAATGCTTAAAAAATGGATGTTTCCTTGATACAGAAATGAACTACAGCAGCCATCTACAGACATCTTTTGGATGAGTTCTTTTAACTATTAGGGGGACCGGAAAGCAATGTTGTTTCGGTGCATTTGATATTTGTTATGAAGATTTTATTTTTAATCAATAATGTATTCACATTTGTTAGCAACAACCTTTCAATGCCGTATCGAAAATGAATCAAAATGGAATGAAATAAATTAATTGCTTTTTAAGAACAAATATTTAATGTTCCGAAACGACATTACTTTCCGGTACCCCTAATACAATGTTTTCAGAATATATTTATTAGTTATTTTTTTTATTTAATTTTAATGTATCTTGGAATAACAGATTCTGAATTCAATCTTAAACACTTTTTATTTCACTTAAACACTTTGGAATAATAGATTTTGAATTCCATCTTTAAATGCCAGAAGATTATGCTATTAATTATTTAAGTGATTTCTTATAAACAAAATTCATGAAACCTTTTTACAAACGTGAAAATTGTCTCAATAAAACCAACTACTTTTCTCATGCAGTAAAAATTTTGTTGTTGTTGTGGCTTATCGTCCAATGCCTGACGAAGTCAGACAAGTTCCATCAGGCCGTGGACCCTAAGAAAATCGAGGACCAGAAGGGGGGATAAGTATATGTCCTCTCTGGAAAGTCTCAAACAGTCCAGGATGTGTTTTAAAATAATTTTATAAGTAAAAATTTTAAAGATGGCAAGATAAACTAAATTTTTTAAAAGCATATATGAAACTAAATGAGGAATTCCTCAAGTGTAAAAGTCTTCTAAAAGAGAACAGGTAAAAGTTAACATCTTAGCTTTCATCAATAAACAATATTAGATAAATAAGTCATTATTTTTTTTTAATAGAACAAGTCTATTTGTAGCAAAAAAGTTAATTTCATTTTTTATTTATTTATTTTTCCTGATTTCAATAGAGTGGCATTTTGATGTTTCATCAAATTATAGTGTTAAAAACATCACCTTAATTGATAAACCTTTGCCACTATTTTAAAAATCATTCAAACACTTAAAAACCTCTGACTTATACCATTTTCCAAATTGACTTATTTCACTTTTAAAAAAATAACGCCACAAATATAAGGAAGTATTTACAAGGAGCACAAAACTAAAAAGCTCAGCAAATAATAAACAACTTCAAGAGAATAATTATTTCTTATCACCAAACAAACAAAGAGATTTATAAAAATATACTCAAACATGAATGAATTATACCTACTAAAACAAACAATAGATAACAAAAAAAAAAATACATTTTACAAGCAAAAGTGTTAAACAAAAAATATTAAAATCCAAAATGAATCTCTTTTTTAAAAAAATAAAGAGATGTATACAGTGTAACGTCTCGTATCGGTGGGACTTCCAGAAGTCCGTATAATTGACCGTAAACAAAGCTTAAAATGATCTAATAAACAATCTGAATCTAAGAAGCAAAACATAAATTAACATTATTTTTAAGGGGAATATTGTTTTAGTATTAGAATATCTAATCAATCAAACATAAAATATGTATTAGAAAAAAAATATTATTGCTAAAAATATAGAAAACGAAAAAATTTGACAGTTATGAAAATATTAATCCGCCATTTTGAACTAATGTTCTGGTATTAGATTATCCAATCAATCAAATATGAAATATTAGGAAAAAAAATTATTGCTTAAAATATAGATAACGAAAAAAAAATTGACAGTTGTGAAAATAATAATCTGCCATTTTTAACTAGAATGATTCAAGCAAGAAAGGGAAATTCCCGTCATTCATTAAGGTGGGTAGGTGGAGGAGAAAAATTCATTTCCTCCTTATTTGTGAAAGAAAATAAGTGTAGAGAGGAGATCATTCAAGTTGAGGGTGGGGAAGTGACAAATTATTGTTTTCTCTCCAATCATTGGCTATCAATCATGCTTAAAGGCGGGGCATGGTGATGGGGTTCTCTTTATTTTTTCTTGTATGACTGAAAGAATCTGCTAAAGAAAGAATGTTACCCCCTTTTTTTCCCCGCCTCCTAAATATTACATGGTCAGGGGAAGAATGAATATTTCTCAAGGACGTGTATCCTTTTTGACCTATTCAAATGTTCCATTTTGACTCCCCCTCCACGTTAATGCTTCCAGCATTTACCCTTTTCTTTCAATAAAAAGGTTCCAGGAAATGCCTCTTTTACTAGCCAGCTGCATAGGAAAAGAGAGGGGAGGGGACGCAGTTGCGGTCTTTTGAAAACAAATCTCCCTCTTTTCCTGCGATACAGAGTAGGAGTGTCGCTAACAGTCGCTCAATGATCTTGGTAGATCTTCTCTTCTTTCCCTTTGTGATTTATGGGTTCAATGCATAAATCAGGGGTTCAGTGCAAGCTAGAAGAGAAAACGTATCAGAAGACCTTTTTTTTTTTTTTTTTAAAGAAATGGGAAGATGAAGAGATGTTTGTTTATTTTGATTGTTAAAAGGTGTCCGGGAAATCGATCCTTCCGGAAAAGGGACGTCCGGATATGAGACGTTATACTGTATTATAAATCATGATAAGTATTGTCACACAACTAACAAAAGATAAGCTTTATTTGGCAATTTCTTAAAAAAGAAGGATTTGGCTCTAAGATAGCAACCTACCTCAAGGTCTTCTAAGAGCGCACAGGCTTCAAGGACTTTTCTATATTTCAATATATTCAAAGGTTTCCCAAAGAGTATGTTTTCTTTTATTGTTTTCTGCTGAATCCAGGAAGATTGTGACACAAATCCAACACCCTGGTTGTTTAAAAATGCATTCATCATCAACTCGCCTGATATGCAGTTAAGATTTGCCACAACGCTAGACAAAAAAGATGATTTACCAGAACCCACTCTTCCAATGACACATAAGAATTGGCCCTAGGAACAAAAAATTACTATACATTGAAAAACTAAAAAAATGACAAGAAAATAAAATATTTCAAGAGATGAATATGATCCAATTATTAATCATAATCTCAATCATTTTTAATCTAATTTATTATTTTTAATCATATTTCTTCTAAGTTATAATTATTATTTTTAATCTAATTATTTTTCTAATAATTAGATTAAAAATAATAAGAAAAGATTATTAAAAATAATAAGCATTCATTTTAATCATATTCTGAAATAAAAATTATGTTAAAAATAAGTTTGAAGATGTAGTTTAAAAAATCTAAGACGAATTTGGGAAAGCAATAAAGCAGCATAAACCCAAAATTTGTCTTCAAATACATTCATAAAATAACTGGAGTATTATACTTAAATTTAAATGCAAGAGTAAATTGAAATAGAACAAAAGAAACATGAATATAATACAGGACATCTTCAGGAGACACCCTGCATGTATTTATAAGTGAACTTTGTTATGAATAACTGTTGAAGAAAAAACAGTTATTCACAGAAAAGATCTAATTGGTTTCGTGAATAACAAAGTAGTTATTTAAAAATAACGCTTATGTTTTGTTTAACAATTACTCACGAATAACGCTTATGTTTTGCCAACAGTTATTTACAAGTAACGCTTATGCTTTGTTAAACACGTTACTCACAAAAAGTTCCAACATGAATGCATGCAGGATGTCTCCTGAAGAAGTCCTGCATTATATTCATGTTTCTCTTGTTCTACTTCAATTTATATTCATATTTACACTAAATAGAAAATTAGAAAGTAATAGTTATATTAATAACACTCACCCATTCATTAAGTTATATACGTATATTTATATAATAGAGTAAAGTACTTTTCCTAAGCAACAATTTCATTTCAGCCCCAATAAGTATCAAAATTAACTCAATATTGGTGATCTTTCAAGAACAAGGATATGCATTGGAATGTGCCAATGGATCTAGATCGGGCTGAACAATTATGCATCATAACACATTGAATACACAAATTTGTCAAGAAAATGTTCAGTGATAATACGATTGAATTGAATGCCCATTAGACTTCTGAACTCAATTTTCTAGAAAAGAATTTGAAATGGAATGGTGCCAACTTTAAAAACTAACTATCAGAAATCAAAAGTACAATAACAAAGAAATAGATAATAATGAAAATTCTCTAAAAACATAATTTCAATTATTCAACCCAAAGACTATAAATTTCTTCATGAAATATGATTATGGACAGTTGAGAATGTAGGTATTTTATTTACGTCACTCTAGAGCTGCACAATGGGCTATTGGCAACGGTCTGGGAAACATCCCCTACGAGGATCCGAAGACATGCTATCACAATTTTGATCCTCTGCAAAGGGGATGGCTCCTCCGCTTTGGTAGCTCGACGACCTGCATGCGAAGTTGAGCACTTTACGGAAGAACCGTTTAAAGAGGACCGATACCGCACGCCTTCGGTCCCTACTCAAGCTGATTAAAGAGGTAACCCACCCGCTAACTGACCACAGCCAGTGATGCTTGGTTTCAGTGTTCTACTGGGAACCGAATCTTTACAATCAGTCCACTGGGGGGACGATTATGGACAGATCATATTAGTTGACACCACTGTGAGTGTGAGAGACGTTTATTTCAAATGAAACAAAAAAGACATTCATTAATTTCATATTTAATACAAAAACGCTGACATTTTTTTTACCTTGTATAACTTTATATCCAATGGACCAAGACAAAAGCCAGAAGACCTTGCAGCATCTTGCTGTACAAGCATATTATTAAAATCTTTTCTTGGTTGCTCGGAGTATACAAATGTCCCATTTATAATCTCTAAAGCTGTATTTTCTCCTTAAAAATAAGAATAAAACAATCTCAGTAAAGCAAACAATATTATACACAATATACAATCCAAGTACCCAAATGGGTATACGCATAAAAAGAACAATAGGAAAAGAATTTTTTAACAAAATTTTCCTACACTTTTACACAGAAACGAACAGAAAAAGTTAAATGTGCTGGTTTCAGAAATCAGATAATTCTTTATATTAGCATCTGGTTTACTTTGGCTTTTTGATAAGTTGAACTGCTACTGATGTCAATTTGGACTGCTATGGTGAAAAGCTTAACAGTCTTGTGCAACTGAAACAAAATTCACTCAAACTAGAGGTTTACACTCAATTTTTTCAACAACAATAAAAATGTTCGTTTCCTGATACAACTGAAACATTTAATAAAAAAACTTGACAAAATTTGATTTGAAAAAACGTGACAGTACGTAGGTTGCCTTTGAAGGCTAAATTCGAAAAAATTATTTTTACCAATTGTAAAGCCGATACTCTCAGTTTAATGGTGGAAGTGGGGAGAAATCAGGGAGATAAAAAGATAAAAACTAGGTTATGAAAGGGTTATCATAATACTGTATTAAAATGCATTTAAAATTATTTAAGATCAAATATGAAGGAGGATTTATGAGATTTAATTCCTTTCTTTAGAATGAACAACTAACTCAATTGTGAATTAAATTAAATTTATATTTTCTGTGTCAGCTGAAGTTATGTTATTTTTTTTCTTTATGTTTCTTTTTATAATAGAAATCTGAAATTCAAAAGCGAGCATAAATATGCATTTAAATTGCTGTAGCCTCCGCAGATCCAGAACTTAGCTTATTATCTGGGAGTAGAGTAACATCAAACTTACACTAATTTAAACAGAACTATCACTAGACATCTTCAACAATATTAAGTATGTTGAGTATAAGTCTTGATAGGAGCACATTAATTACTTTAGCCAGGGAGCTGAGAGGTCAGCACGCCTCACTGTGAAGCCAATGTTTGTGGGTTCGAATCCCGCTCAGGGCATGGGTGTTTCTCTTCGTGTGTTGTTCTCTATTGGGTAATGCGTGAATATGGCCCACCCTATAAATGCGTATCTGTGGCAAAATTCAGTGTCTGCCGTTAAAAAAAATTAATTAATTGCTTTTAGCCGAATAATAGATTTTTGCATAGTTTTAACCTTCAGGAGTTCAGTTATTGAGTCAATTCCAGTTATTCAGTTCAATGCCCAAAAATGCGTACCACAATGAAAGACTTTGAGATACTTACCATTATTAATCTTTGAATAATATTTTGGTACATCTAAATTTGGGAGTAGTAGAAAACCACTTAACCGCTTAACTGAAATCCAGGCTTCCACAATTCCATTCAGAACCCATGGAAAAGCATTTAAAGGCATAATCAAGATGTTGAAGAGTGCAACACAAGTAAATACCTAAATATATTTATAAAAATAAAACACTGAGATAACATAATTATTATCTGTTTTCAGGGTTACCACTCATATTTGGAAGAAAAAAAATTCCCTGTGTTTTCCATGTACATATTATACACAATATATTAAGAGGAAACACACATACACAGCACTCTTGTGAGCTATATTAGGATAACAATGCTAGTTTTAGTTGCTGGAAAAACTTAGAGGAATAAGAAACACCTTAACATAAAATGATAATGCTTATAATAAATGAAATAATATAACGTAGACGAACTATCACCTTAAATATCCCAATAGATTATGCTTTGAGGGATCTGAATTTTCTTAAAGACAAAAATAAGAAATAAAATTCCCTGTTTGTAAAGAAAAACTCAAATTTCCGTGCATTTTCCCTGTTATTTTAGATGACTTTTAAATTTCCAGTTTTTCCCTGTTTTTCCTGTGGGGTGACAACCCTGGTTTTGTTATGATGAAAGTTAGAAAATCTGAAATCAAGGGGAGAAATTAATGAAATTTAATCACTGGCACAAAGTATCAGTTTCCAAAATTTAGTTTTATTCCATTTAAAACTGATAAAACCCAATTTAGAAAATTTAAAAAAAATTCTTTTAATATTAATTTCACAAAGATATTTATCAAAATCAGACAAATCAAAAAACAGACAACTGTAAACTAATTCATTACCATTCAAAGGAAAATATTTGTATTTACTTTATGAAAGCAAAACTTTACAAAAACGAAAATACATTTACCAACTTAAAAGCATTGGCCAAACTTAACAGAAATTAATTAGTGAATGACCCCTACAAGAAACGTTAAAAAATGAAATTACCAATTGATCTTACTCATTACATGGATTTGAAGTTTGATTTTATTAGCTTTTAAACATTCTAAAGACATTAAAAACTTTGAAACAGTTTATTAATTTTTCAATATACTTGGAAATATTACAAAAATATTAGAAATTAAGGTCAATGATAAAATAAAGTGGATATCTCATATTATTTACAAAATCTCATTCCTGGGAGTAAGATCATAAAACAACAAGGATGCAGTACTAGTACCTTGGTGCAAGATTTCAAAACAACAAATATGCAGTACAAGTGCTTAGTACAATTTTCATGTTCTGTCTCCAGTATCTGTTTCCGGAAAAAATGCAAATATGCCAACCTGTTTGAGTGAGCATGAAAAATGAGTTGTGAAGTGTAATTCTCAAGTGTGAAAAAAATATCACGAGAGCTGATTTATGTTTTCAAAAGTATAATTAAACTTTAAATATATATAGAACAAAATCTGTTTCTTTTTGATTTATAGCTAAAAGTGCAAATTATAATTCAGATTATCGAATCATATTGTTTTTCCTTGATGCAAGTGTCAGATCAGTTATAATTGAAAAACTTGTTTGTTCAAATATTCTTCTTGTTCTAAACCAGTTGTCATAACAAAAGTCCTGTTTTGAAATTCTTTGTTTTGTTAATCAATACAGAGAATAATTATGAATGAACATACTAATAGATGGATAAAGAGGTAGAGAATTTATTTTTTTATGTAAGGATCTGCTTTTACTGAAAAAGGACTCACTCAGAAATTTGCATTTGTACTAAGGACTTGTAGTTTCTAAATTTACCAGAATCAAAGTATGGAACACTCGCACTCCCATAAAGAGTAAGTGCTGCACCCCAGTTGTTTTATGCATGATGTTTTCAATACAAATGCAAACAACAACAATCTCAAGCTCTTGACTCGCTCTACTTCCACTTAGAAAGTATACAATTGCTTTTTACAGTTTATTCTGTGAGGCAATATTTCCAAACAGATAATTTTGTTTTTAATGAAAGAAATAAATTATATAATTTCTGAGCTCAAATCTGCTGTATTTCATAAGATATAAATGATATTAAGTAAATCTGGTGAGTTTGAAGTGAAAATTTGTACTAGTTTTTAGACATATGTTGTTAAAAAAGGTGACATGGTTGCTAGATTTAGAAAGAACTCGCTTTTTTGGCAGATCTGATTAGGCTTCTTTTTATATGTTTTTACTGTTTGTCCTTTGCAAGCCGTACACCATCATACGTTAGTGTTAATATATTGTTCGAGCAATGAGATTAAGTTCATTTGACAAATTATCATTTAGTTTTAAATTTTGAAGTTGGTATATTGTTCACAAGGTAAGAAGCGTTTACTAATGATTCTTTTTTCAAATGACAATTCTTACATCTGAAAATGACAGGTCTTCAAATGACGAGTCTTAAAATGATTCCTTTTTAAACACAAAGTTAACAAATTCACATATACAAGAAATACTACACAAGAGAGTCTCAAAACACAATGATCACATTGTGAGCCAAATGGCTTCAAACACACAGAAAAAACGGCAATCCGGAAATATAGGCAGTCAAGAGCTTGCAGCGCACCCTAGTGTACTAAACACCACCCATAATCTTGTTACCTTGCTAAAGACTAAATTTTTGCTAAAAACTAACCTTTGAAGCAGACAAACTGTAACCTAATAGAGCATATAAAGTAAATGTGAGGAAAGACATGAAGACAGGAGTCGTAGCCCAAAAGTACACGCAGATTGCATCTAAGTATTTACGCTTTTTTAAGTATTTCACTTCACTTTGACGGATCAGAGCAAGTTTCCTTAGGAATATAGTTTCCCAAACATTCATCTTGATGATCCTGATTCCGGATATTATTTCATTCATCATCTGAAAGTAGTTTATGGAATTTTAAAAAAAAAAAATTAAAAGCTACTTTAGAAAAGAAAAATTAATAATTAAACAGGTTTACATTAAAAAATACATGTTTATTAATGATAAGTTCAGGGTTTGTTGATTCAAATCAGCTTGATTTAAATCACAATTTAAATCCTGATTTAAATTAAATTATTTTTTTAAAAAATCATTGATTTAAATCAACTATTTTTTTTATATATATATATTGATTTTAAAAGCTAAAAAACAGTGTTTTAAATTATTGATACTTTTATTATTTTCTTTTCTTAGTTTTAAAATTTATTTTAAATAAATTGCAGTATTAATTAATTTTAGTTAACGAAATTACTTTCTTTCTTGGTGTGTGTTAAATTCCAACACATTTGAAATTACATTTTTAAAAATCTTTTGATTCTTGAGATTGAAAGTACAGATTAAAGTAAACATTTAATGCTGTCTTAATATAGGCTTGCATAGCTGTAGAAATTATTTAATAAACATGAATTTTTTTCAAAAAATAATGCAAATAACGTTAATTAAAATTCTGCCTTTTGAATGAAAAAGCATGGAAATAAAATCTACATTATATTTTATTGGTGGAAAATGTATATATCGGAAGCTTGAGGTTATATTAAAAAGAAATTACTGTAATATGCCAAAAACAGAAAAAAAAATTTTAAAAAAGGCTGATGAATTCAGATATTTTTTTTCCTGATATAGCGTCATTCTTCTCTTTCAAAGTCTATTTGAAGCAGTAGGGTTATTAACTGGTATTTTTTTTCTCATAATATGTTTACAGTATCTTCGACATTATCTGATTTTTTATAAAGAAATTTTGTGAAAAAAAATTCCAATGAGTAGTTACATAGATTTTTAAATTTTTTTTTTTTTTTTTTGCTTAACTTATCTAATTTGATAAAGAATTAAAAATGAATATTTTAATATAAAAATAGATAGATTAAATATTTATTTATTTTTTGATGAATGACTACATTTATAAACACAATCGTTAACATTTATTTTTTCATTTTAAAAATCAAGAGGAAAAAAAAGAAATCACAATTTTAAATTAAAATTTTGGTTTGCTAATTGAAAGTTTGTTTTAATAGTTAAAGTACAGGGGTCTTTTCAAGCCAAATTTACTACCGTTTAGCAGTACCTTCACAAATTCAACTTTAGGAAAAACAGTAAAATAATTTCACAAAATACTTTTTTCTTAAAATTTTATTTTTCCGTCTCGTAAAAAACGATAAATCCATATTTTTACAATATTTGTGTTGATTTTTCAATATAATTTTTAATTTTCACAAATTATATCTAACTTTTCACAAAATAGGTACCTCTCAGAAAAACCTAGACAGACCCTTGAGGTATTCTTTAAATTCTCTATCTGATCTAGTCTTTAAATTTCAATCATGCATTTGTTTCAAAATGGTTGCTATGCATTCAGAGCTATGTATTATAATGAAAAATCATTTTAGTAAGTTAGAGCTTCTAAAATATTGTTATAATATAGTTTTAATATAAATTTAATTTTGATTAAACATTTATAAAGTTTTTTTAATCATAAATCAAAGTTCTTACAGTGTATTTGAATGAAAATCAAAAAAATTTGATTTAAATCAAAAAAATCCGATTTAAATAAAAAAAAAACTGATTTTTTAAAAAAAAAATTGAATAAATTAGGAGCCCTGGTTCGAACCCCACCGGCTGAAGACTCCCCGTATAATAAATGGTGAATGATGCTCGTTAAATCTGTCAATTCGCAATGTCCTCCGTGTTCCCATAACAAATAAAGACCTCTGGGGGTACTGAATTGGAGAGTGATTGCTCTCTAATTCAGGTCAAAATTATGATCAGCGGATTTATGAATGGGTGTAGCAGAAGTCAAATTCTTGAAAAACAGATATAAATTAAGGAGATATAAATTTCTAGTGAAAAGGCAGAAAATCAATATTTTAAATAAAATAAAATAACCCTTTAACATGGTGCGTAGCGTTTTTAAAAGGTGCTTATTTTCTTTTTTTAAAGCCCTTAAAGATGGAAAATGCAAAATAATTTTCAAAGACTTTTACATGATCATGATAAAATAACTAATTTCTCACAAAGAACCCTTTTTTTAAATTATCATTATATTAGCAACCATAAAAAGATGAGAGATTTTTCGGTTCGCTTTCAGAGGATGAAAAATGAAGCCTAAAATTGAGAATATGTTACAAAATGCAGCAGAGTTACACATGAGAGTGCAAGAATCTTACCGAACCCAGCTCAGTAGACAAACACGCGAACTCCTAAGTATTTCCTCAAGCATGTAACATGATTGGCAATATCTTATGTTACGGACCGACAGTACGCCGTAATGGATTGTGGTTGAATTAATTGTGAAAATGCAGAATTGAATAATGTGAAAACCACGCTTTTGCATAATAGGTAGTGAAATTCGACATGGCAAAGAAAAAAATCTCATTTTTGAAAATTAAAAACTTTTTAAAAACACCATGAAAAAAGCAAAGAGCTTCTAAAAAACAAAAATAAGCACTTTTTAAAAACACTACGCACCAAGATTGAGATATTTATTCACGTGATTTAATAATTTAAAACCGACATACCTATTCCCAAGATTTACAAATTTCACATTGAGATTCATATTCACACAATTTCTAAAAAAAATTCTGATAAGATTCTAGGGATAAATGCTTCTTACATAAACTTCTTTCTTGATCAAATTTCTGCAATTTTTAAAGTATTTAAAAAGTGTTTTCGCTCATTACATTTTTGAATTTCTAATTTCAGCGTCTTTACCTAACTCATCCCAGAAGTATAAATCAAAATAGAGTTTTATAAGAATTTAAATGTTAAAAAACTGTGATTTTAAAACAAATTTTGCTCACATTTCAAACAAATTTTTTAAAAAAAAAAATCAATTGCTAGTGGAAGGTTGTTTTAATTGAGATTTAATGTTTGCAGAAAGTTTTTCCTTTTAAGTAAGTATGGCCTCTGACTATATCTAAAAATAACAAAATATGCAATAGAAATGAAATACCTTAATTCTTTTGTCTTTAGCAGTCATCATTAAATTACTGTAAACAGCAATTTTTTTGGCAACATATTGATTTAATGGTATCACAAATAACATAAAAGCCACTCCAATGAAGAAACAGTACCTTATTTGTTGATATAAAAGAATCAAAGCCACTATAATTTGAAGGGGTAAACTCCAAAACAAATGAAAACTTTGGCAGAAATTAACAATACGATCGGTATCTGTACTTAAGTAATTCATTATTTCTCCAGAACTAGCATTGGACATTGAAACTTTATTTAAAGAAAGAACTTTCTTATACACCAAAATCATTAAAGATGTTTTCAATTTTAATCCAATACGATTAATTAAGTAATTATATTGCAATGAAATAATAGCAGAGGTAAATGTTATTAGGAATAAGCCTAAGGCGTAGTAATAGCCAATTTTTGAATCATTCTCTGGTGACTCTAGTAGAGACACTAAGGAATTCAATAATAGGGGTCCTCCGAAAATAAGGCAATCCGTTAGAAATTTCAAAAAACCAATTAAATAAAATTCACAGGCAAACAGTTTATGAAGGTCTTTGACAAGGTGAAACGATTTTTTAGAAATAGACCAGCAAAAAAATCTAACATAATCGTTTTCCTCGTTTAAGGAAGGTGATAGCAATGATATTTGCTTATAGATATTCATAGATAATAAACTATTTGGCAGACTGTATAAATCCTCAACAGTATTCAGATTTTGGTTGTAGCCTTTTAACATCAAAGGATTAACCCAGGAAAAAAATAAGGTAGAAAATATCCGCTTCGGATCTTCCGCCACTCCGAGATCTTGATCAGTGTTATTTTCGCATCCATAATAACGGAAAACAACAGAATTCATCAGAGGTTCTGTTTCACTGCTATTTTCATTTACCAACACATTATTTCGTCTGATTTTGTTAGGATAAAGAGTCAAAATGTAAATTAACTGGAATGTAATACATATAATCTGAAACTTATCTGAAGAAGCAAATGCATATTGTCTGTAATGATTATAGAAATCATATATGGACACAATAAAACAAATAAAAACTGAAACGACAATCGCAGTGGGACCTCTTATACTGTAACAAATATTGGACATCAATTTCCTTAAGAAACCAATATGCAAAAGCCAAGCTACTAAGCACAAAATGATTTGAATTATATCAACAGATGCTACTGTTTTCACTTTCAAATAAATAAAATAATAGCCTACATTTGATGTAAGTAATATAATAGATGAGATTAAAATTCTAGCAGAAATAATTAATTTATCGGATTTAGTTCGGGCAATATGTCTATAATTACTAAATCCAAGATAATATGATGTACTAATAATAAAAAGGATAAATGCAGGATAAATGAAACTCAACTGTCTGAAACATTTACTAAAATACTTATTTTTGTAATCCCAGATATAAAAGTTTTCACCACATAGGGAGTCCAAAATTAAGTAAATTGATGAATTCATATTTTTTGCAAAAGTATAAATATCTCCAACATATATATATACTACAGTTATTTTTCTGAAGAGAGAACAACTGTCTGAAGAATTTTCTTATTATTTCTCAGAACTGATTAGAATTTTCAATAAATTTTCCTCTATACAGACGATTTAGAAAACTTTCGTTCATCAGTTCCGAATCATCTTAATTATTGATTGGCTAACAAATTTAAGAATTATGAAGAATTTTTACTATTCCAAGAAAAAGAACTAATTTTGGAAAAAGAAGTATAGTGTCCTCTGTTGGAGAAATGAGAAGTTTTATTAATAACTTAAAAATTGAAACCATTTTGAGAAGAAAAAAAATTAAGAACTTGTTTTGAAAATACCAAAACCACTCTAGTTGGTGACGGATTCACCTTAAATAACTTAGTATCAGAAGAGTTTTTAAATGTAGCTTACATCGTAAAACGATGATTTTGATTGTTTTCACTGCATGTAAAAATTCGCATATGAATGCAGTTCCATTATGAGTCATTTACTAAGGGAGCATTCACACTAGACTTAAAAAAAATAAGAATTCCCATATTCAAAAATTTGTTTCTAAAAACTTTTCACAGATTCATTCATGTAAGGCGGAGAAATAGGCAGCTAAATACTTTCATCGATAATACTGTATGTATAGTATTTGAATAAAAATGATAAAAAGAGGATCTGTCGAAAATTATTTATTCAGTTTATTTGCATAAATATTATCTTACTCTAATGTCTGTATTTTCGTCTGTAATTGTGTAAGGAAAAAAAAGCAATTGAAATAAGGAAAATATCTTTCTCATAAAGTTACAGTGAGTATTTCATGCTGTGTATGATTCAGTACATTAATAAACTAAGTGAAGGAATTTTTTAGGTTTTAATTTACAATAGGTTGTTTCTATTATTTTGTCATTTTTTTTATTTTCTCGAAGAAAATGTGGAAAATAACTTATAAGCGAGATTTCCGGAAGTGATTTCTAATCGTGATGTACATATTATATGTGAAAATCACGAGAAACTAAAAATACTATTACAGAAAGGTGCTAATTGGAATAGTCCCACAATTGGCAGCCACCCTACATAATTTTTTTTAATTGAAATAATAAGAAAGTAGAAGATTTCAAATATATCCTATAGAGAGCTTTTCTCTCAATGAGGTGAATTTAGTTCAAATCCCAATGATGACTGGTTGATACAAATTTCGCACCTCCCTCACAGTGATCATGTAAAATATTCTCAGTGATCGAGAGATCATGCCTTAAAGTCCCTTTGCCATTAGGCTAACCATGGAAGGTTTTCCTCTCTATATTACACAGATGTTGGTTAGTTCTACCAAAAAGTCCACCACGAAGGCACATTTCTCAGAATATTTGATCCAGAAGTTCTGATGTCTTCTTGATTAAGCTCAAAATTACAAGGCTATGGATTTGAACATTGGTAGTTGTAAACACAAAATTGGATTTCCTGTTTAACAACGGTTATAGAATAGTTATAAAATAGCATATAATTAGCGGTATGATCTCTTACAAGTTAAATATTGCACCATGTGCACAACACTTCTTGAGATTGGGTTTTTGGTGTCAAAAATTGGTTTTTGAAATGACAGGACAAAAAACCTGTCGAAAACTTTTATAAACTGCCAAAAACCTGAGACTAGTTTATTTTTTGTCTTTGTTGACATTTTTTGATAGTAAATCATACACAATACTTACATTATGTACTGTTATAATTATGATATATTATGCTTAAATTACAGTGTTTTCATCATAGAAAAAAAATGGGTGAGAATTTCTCACCCTTTCTCAAAAACAGGGTGAGATTTCAGAAAGTTAAGTGATATTTCTAAAACTTAAAAAAACACAAACAGACTTTAAAAAAATCATTTCTTTAATTATAATACATTTGTAACATCTTCTATTTTTTAAAGCATTGATTTTTTTTCCCTGCATCATCATATGATTTTTGCTGCATCATAGAAGACTTTGCCTTTACAAGGTATTTGTCGATCTTTCATTAGTGCATAAAAAATTTGAACGTCTTACATAAAGAAACCTTACCTACAGTAAACACGTGATTGCGGAGAAATGTGTTCTGGAAGGGGTTCCGTGGTTTGAAGGGGTAGTGTTCTGTTGTTCGAAAAGGTTCTTAACAATACTGGTAAATAGGGAAGCTAGATAACGGGGCAGATGTTGAAAATAATGCAAGATCCAGGAAGAAAAGTGAAACAGATTTTATTCTAAATGGCGTAATGCAAAGCTTTTTCCAAAATGCGAGAAATTTGTGAATTTTGAAATTGATTTATAGAATGCGCGAAATTCTCGAGGTAATAATTTTTTGATACGAAAAAAGAAAAAAAATATGTGAGATTCTCACGTTCTCGCACTGTAGTGAAGACACTTAATTATTTAAGCTATTTATTGTTTTTTCTTAATTATGGCATGCTTAATACTTTATGATCAATATTTACAATATTAAAACTATTCACTTTATATTATAGGTAATAACTAAGAGTTCTTAATGATTATCAATCTAAATATTGATTTTTATTCTACTAATAAATTTTTTGTTTGATTCTGAATATTTGTTGTTATTATTTGTATGCAGGGGAACAGAATCTGTCCTATCACCCAAACGAGGTTTTGTGGAAAATTTAGGCAGCCTGGGTTTAAATAAATTTCTTAAAGAAAATTTTATTGTTAAAAGTGTTCCGTTGCAAAATGTTTCCTTATATTTTTTTTCAAAAAATTCTATGTCAATTAGGGTATTTATTAGTTATAATTTTTTAAGTTTATGAGTGGAACCTTAAATTTAATTTAATAAATTATTACTATTTCGAAATATATTTTGATTTCTATCGTTTTTAACACATTGGCGTAGTTATTTAAAAATTGTCTAAAATTCCATAAATTTTTTTCTTTATTTTTATTATCAAAAATTTGTAAGCAATACATAATCTTTACTTTTCAAAAATATTGTAAAAAAGTTATTATGCCTTTTAAACCCCTCCACAAAAAAGTGGGAGAAAATGTTGTATTTAAAAAAAAATTTGTTTTGTGGAAATATTAGGCTGAGAATTTTCTGCATGCCTGCTTATATATACATGAATATTGTCAATAAATCATAACTATATTAAATTCTATAATAAGTAAACGATTATGATTTACAAATATATATATATATATATATATGTTTGTTTAAATGAGTTAACAATTTTTTTCAATCAATCAATTTAATTAAGTTACTTTCAATCTGGTTATTAGTATACCTGAAAATAACCAATTGCCACATGGCAAGTCAACAAAAAAAGTGACTATTTATTAAATAGCTGGTAATTTTTTCTTTGTTTAAATTTTCTTTTAATGATTTAAGTATATCAACGCAGAACTCAAAAGCTGAAATTTCCATTGTCTAAATGTCTCCCTTCAAAATTTTGATCATCAATATGTGGTGGAAAGATTCATGTGGCAAAAGAGTTCTTAAACTATTCACTTATTTCATTAAAAAATATCTTTCCTCCCAAATATTTTTCAGAAACGTACTTTAGCCATTTGCCTGCAACCGGTACAACATATGTACCGGTGAAAAAAACTTTCTGCATTTGTACCAGTGGTCCTCTGTGAAACAAATTTTTTTTTTATTGGTTATGATGTACTAAATATTCAATATAAAAATTAGATATTTTAAAAGAGAGCTTTTCTAAGAAATTTGTGTTCATTTGTTACACCTGACACAATGGAATTACCTTAATATGTTTCTATGTTAGCACAATTCAGTAATATGTTTGTATAATTCAGTTCAGTATTTACAAGTTTGTAACATTTTTTTATTAAATAGTAATTTTTTTTCTCGAAAAATTTCAAAGTCAATAATTTTAAATCTTTTTTCAAATCTTTTTTTTTTTTTTTAGTTGCACCACTGATTCAATATAAAGAAAGCAAAGTAAGAGTTTTTGTTTCATATAAAATAATAATTGAATAAATTATTTTATAGTTATCATTTATTTAATTTTTTGTTTAGCGAGAATTTTTTTTCAGCTTAAAATATAAGAAAAAAGTTATTATCAATAAAAATTTTAGTATTTTTTTTTTTAAAGTGTATTTGATGCATTTCTAATAAAAATTTACTTAGATCAGTTTAAATATCAGAAATACAAATATTGACCACATTAACCTTTATTTGCTAGTTTACGAAGAGGAATTTCCTTTGTTTTTCTTCACCTTTTTTTTTTCCAGTTTCTTCAATTTTTTCCTGTAAAAATTTACACATCAATTTAAAGGAAATGTAATCAGATTTTTTTTTCTTCTTGGAAACATCTTGTTACTTCTGTAGTTTTCAATGACTTAAGTTCAAACAATAGAATTTGAACATTACCTTATTGAAACTGAGTAATGCAGCATTGGATACGATATGAAACAACCTATAAATAAGATAACTTTCAAAATAGTGTAATATATTCATTTTAATTACATATTTTAATAATTAAATGCAGGTGGGGAGCATTTTTGGCATACAAAGTGGCGACTTTCAAGCGATATTTTAATTGCTCCATAGAAAGTGTTGAATTTTATTTAAAAGTTTATAGTATCTGTCGACGTAATTTAAGTATTTATTTTAATGGTGGCAAAAAAAAAAATTTATGAACTCTTAATATGCTATAAATTTTATGAACATTTTTAATATTTTTTCTCCATGCTGCTAATTTAATGGTTACCAAAAAAATATTTATGAAATTTTAATATACAATAAATTTTATGAACATTTATAGTTTTAAATATTTTTTCTCCATGTTGCTGTTTATAGTTCGAAGTGTTGTTCTGAGTTTCACAGTGCTTAAAGACAACCAAAGATATTTGCCAAGAAAAGGACCTTCTAGGACTTTAATCATACTGTATGCTTTTTTTTTATTACTATGATATATTTTATTACTAAGATTTACCCTGATATTCATTCTATTGTAAGACTTAGACCTAATGATAACAACTTAAGTACTACTTTGGCTTTAGACTTGAAAGGCTTTTAAAATAATGTCCAGTTTTATTTATCCAACAGTAACTCCATAACTCATTCTAATGTGAAAAATCTGAATAAAATTTTTCATATAGTTTTTCTAAAAATATATTTCAACTATTTACTCTTACAAAATAATATGATTGCAATTTATTTAAATCTTTGAAAGTATAATTAGCTATATACAGATTAATACAGTTGTATTTTATACAATATGAGTTTTTTAGCAGACAAGCTTAATGTTTATACTGATAAGAAACCTTATTCTTGTAGCGTATGTAATAAGAATTTTTCAAGGAGAAGTCATCTGACGGTGCACAGTCGCCCTCATACTGGTGAGAAACCTTATTCCTGTAGTATATGTAATAAGAGTTTTTCATTAAGGTGTATTCTAACTTTACACTGTCGGACTCATACAGGGGGAAAACATTATTCTTGTAGTATATGTAATAAGAGTTTTTCAAGGAAGGGTAATCTAATTGCACACAGTCTCATTCATACTGGTGAGAAACCTTATTCTTGTAGTATATGTTATAAGAGTTTTTCACAGAAGAATAGTCTGACTGAACACAATCACTCTCATACTGGCAAGAAACCTTATTCTTGTAGTATATGTAATAAAAAATTTTCGAGGACGAGTAATCTGACAGTGCACAGTCGCTCTAATACTGCTGAGAAAGCACATTCTTGCAGTATGTGTAATAAGAAATTTTTACAGAAGAAACATCGAAATAATCGTAGTAGCTCTCATACTGGTGAGAAACCTTATTCTTGTAGTATATGTAATAAGAATTTTTCGTATAGTTATGATCTAACTAGACACAGTCGCATTCATACTGGTGAGAAACCTTATTCTTGTAGTATATGTAATAAGAGTTTTTCGTATAGTTATGATCTAACTTGACACAGTCGCATTCATACTGGTGAGAAACCTTTTTCATGTAGTATATGTAATAGGAAATTTTTACAGAAGATACATCTAAATAATCGCAGTCTCACTCATACTGGTGAGAAACCTTATTCTTGTAGTATATGTAATAAGAAATTTTTACATAAGATACATCTAAATAAGCACAGTCTCTCTGATACTGCTGAGAAACATTATTCTTGTTGTGTATGTAATAAGAATTTTTCCAGTAAGAATTATCTAATTACACACAGTCGCACTCATACAGATGAGAAACCTTATTCTTGTAGTATGTGTAATAAGAATTTTTCAAGGAAGGGTAATCTAATTACACACAATCGCTCTCATACTGGGGAGAAACCTTATTCTTGTAGTATATGTCATAAGTAGGACTGGGCGATATTAGAAATTATATATCGTGATATATCGTCAGTTTTGCATCGCGATATAGCGATGTATCGCTTAAATTTTCAAAAAAGATTCATTTACTTTAAGGCACAGAAAGTCAGATTTCTATCAAGACTTCATACGCATATTGATTTAAATCAATTTATAAATTTGAAAATATATATGTTTTGCTAAAGAAAGATATTAAATAAATTGACTAAGATGTACAAATCTTACTTAAAATATTTATTGAAAAAATGTGTGTAGATACAGAATGAAATATTTGCACTTCTTTATCGTTTATAAGGTATAAGCAGTCTTAATTTAAGTTAACCCCTAAAACACCCTTAATGAAAAAAAATATTGTTATTAAACAAAAGCTGATTTTAAAATTTCAAAATATATTTTAATTAAAATAAAAGTTAGATTGACTAAAAGCCGAAGTTTAAAATTAAAAATGTTCGAATTTTAAACTAAAAAGTAAACATAAGATTTGTAATAATTTCTTAAAATTTTCGTTCTCTGAAAGATTTCTCAGTTTAAAAATAAAAAGGGAATTTTATAAAGATATCTAGCTGAAATTATTGAAAGAAAATTTAAAAAATTAAAAAAAAAGTTTGTTAAGAAATTCATTATACACTTAAAACAAAGTGTTAAAAATATTTTTTTTTTTTAAAAAAAAAAACTTTTTTTAACAAATCAATATTTGCTTGTACTATTATGCGTAAATAATTACAGAATTATTAAGTTCGATCGTAATGTTCAAATTCTTAATGAAGAAGTAAACACAAGTTTTGTTATATTTTCTAAAAATGATCACGCAAATAACAAAAGATTTCTTAGTTTAAAAATAAAAAAATAAATAAAAGTGAAATTTATCAATATATTTACCTAACAGCATAGGAACAAAATTTAAAAAATAAGTTCGTTAAAAAATTATTTGTATGCTTAAAACAAAGAGCTAAATAAATTTTAGAAAAAAAATGCTTCTTAAACACTATTTTTATTATTATTTCATATAAATAATTAAATTAAATTAAATAATGACCGAATTATGAACGAAAAACAAAGTAAGGCAAAGTTTCTTAATTAAATTCTTAAAAATAAAAACAAAAGAATTGTGATATTCGGTAATATATTTAGCTAATTAACTAATAATATAAAACGAAAATTAAAAAAAAATAATGATTTTACTCTCTAATAAAACGAAGTAGTAATTGATAAAAAAAAAAAAAAAAATGAATAAAATTCGCAAACTTTTCAAATTCTTTTGAACAAATAAAGTTTATTGACTTATGTCCAAAAAATAAGTTTTGTTTTAACTTTATTTCTAAAAATAAAAACAACTCAAGATTTATAAATTTAAAATCAGTAATAGAAGCCCATTAAATTATTAGAAGTTTTATCCGAAAGGTTTTTAATAAATTAAAAGAAAGTAAAAAAATAACCTAACAAATTTATTTACTTTGTAATTTAATTCCTTATGGGTGCCTTAAATTAGATTTCCGATAATTTTCACATTTAAAAATATAAAAAAAGTTTTGTCAGAAAATAAATAAAAAACTTACCTAATTAATGAAGAAACTTTTCTTTATAAATTCTTTTCAATAATAGATTGCGTTCAGAACAAGGTTACGACGGCGATCACGAAGTTAATCCCATTGAAAATAATCTACAAGAAACGATTTCAAATCGCGAAGGTGCGAAAACGAACATGTGATATAACGATATAAGGTCTCAAAAGTGATTCTGATTCTACCATCAGTCAAGGCCGTCTCAACATAACGAAACAATATCGTCTTCCACAGCGCGAGTTGGCATCGGAACGTAAGAGAAAGTCCTTGCGTGTATCGCTATATCGCTATATCGTTATATCGTCTTCTTCACTCGACGGCTTAAATCAGATTTCTGATGCATCGCTTGGAATGAAAGTTGCTGTATCGGTTTGCCGATATAGGCGTTAAATCAATATGTCGCGATATATCGATTTATAGCCCAGTCCTAGTCATAAGAGTTTTCCATATAGTTATGATCTAACTAGACACAGTCCCATTCATACTGGTGAGAAACCATATTCTTGTAGTATATGTAATAAGAGTTTTTCGTATAGACATGATCTAAATAAACACATTCACGCACATACTGGTGAGCAACCTTATTCTTGTAGTACATGTAATAGGAATTTTTCATATAAGTGTGATCTGACTAAGCACAATTGCACTCATACTGGTGAAAAACCTTGACCTTTAATTTATGTAATAATTTATTTTTTGTGTGAATTTCTTCATTTTTACTTTTAGTTTTTCACTGAGGCGTAAGTGTGTTTACTTTTGAGTAGCTTAATCCTTTTAATGAGTGCAATAAAAAGTTTTCAAATAAAGTTAACAAGCCTTTCAGTTGTTTTCATTGTGGTTTTAAAATTCATTCTTGTTACTGTTAGTCAATTTAGGTCTCTCCACTACACATTCTTGAGGTTTGTGGTTTCTACATCATAATTTTTTTTTTTTTCAAACCAGTTCTTCAATCCACTTTTAGTTCATTGCTTCAATCTTTCCTGGAGTTTGGTTATCCTAAACTTAATTTGTTCACACCCATCCTCCCTGTGATATCAACAAACAATGATAGTAGGGAAGATTGATTCTACAATTGACAATGGCAACCTGTTTAGTCCTTTCCTACCTACTGTAGATATAAGGGTGATTCTTTGGAAACATGACAATTTGGACCAAAAAATTTCTTCAAATTTAAAGTCTTCAAAATAATTTTTTTTTTTTTTTTTTTTGTATATTTCTTTAGTTGTATTTATTAATATCTTACAGACAGCAGTGCAGTTTACTGACATTTGCTCAAGAAAAATTTAAAATAGAAATTCTCATTTTGAATGCCAGGAAAATGACATATTAGCTTAGAAGTTTGAAAAAAGCAGTAATTTTAAACTATTAGTGAGTAACAAAACCTATGGATCATGAATGACTTAAATTAATTCTTTTATCTACTGTAGAAAGAGTCAAAAAAAATTTTTGTTACTGATATGTGCAGAATAAAATTGTGTAAAATAATGAATCATTAAATAAATAAATAACATTGATTACAGTCAATCTTATTACAATCATACATAAACTTGGTATTAGGTTAATATTTGTTTTCCCTCTTTACAATATTAGCAGTTAAAAAAATTTCTGGTAACACTTCAATGTCCTGGCATTCATAAGCTAGAATAATGACAAATTCGCCATTTTATAGCATATTACTTTAATTTAATATTTTGGCCTAAGACCAGGGCCGGATTAACCTATAGGCACGTGCCTAGGGCCTACGAAAAAATTGGGAGAAAAAAAATGTGTTGACAAAAATAATTTAGCTTTAAAAACAACAAGTGTATTTTGCACAAAATTATGAAGATACAAATAAAAATATAATATTTTTTGGTAATAAATTATTTTGCAGAATCTTATGACCTAATATATTACTTTTTTGAATTCAACGAAATCTTGTATTATGCTGTCGAATTCCAAACTACGCAAAAAGTTCGATAAACAAATTTGTAAATTAAAATCCATTTAATAAAAATGTAAAAAAAAAAAATATGCAAGAAAAGTTTAGCATATATTTTGAAAAGAGGGGAGGAGTGGGAGAGGGAGGGGAGGGCCCAAAAACGACTATGCCTAGGGCCTACGAAAGGCATAATCCGGCTCTGCCTAAGACGTTTATATTCTGCTAAAAACAACAGAATTTCTTAAAATAAATCTATGTAGTTTATGTTATTAATGATTTCAAGAAGCCAAGAAAATGACAACACAAAAACCTACTCACCTTGAAACATTTTTTGAAATAGATTTTGAACCAGAAAGTTGGTTCTTTAATCATGCAACAAGACATGTTCAGATAAAGAAAATTAGATATTGAAAAATTTATGTGAAGTTTTGAAGCTAGTTATTATTGGAAATATTGTTTGGGACATACCCGATACATAAAATTTTGCAATTCAATTAAATTTTTTAACTACACAAAACAGTCAATGCTAGTGCAGTCATTTTAAAATGCAAACAGCAATGCTATTTGATAATTTTTTAAAACAAAAAAGTTCTTTTAGTAGTATAAAATTTGATCTTGGAGCAAGGGAGTGTGAATTGTCATATTTCTTGAGAATCACCCATAAACTCTTCCAAATATGATTGATTTTTTTGTTAAACTTGAATTGTTCACACCCATTCTCCCTCTGATATCAACAAACAATGATAGTAGGGAAGCTCTACAATTGACAATGAAAACCTGTTTAGTCCTTTCCTACCTACTGTAGATATCAACTCTCCCCAATAAAGTTGATTTTTTTGTTGAACTTGGAATTGTTCTCACCCATTCTCCCCTATATATCAATAAACAATGATAGGTGATGATTGATTGACAAGAATGAATACCTCATTCATCAAACTACATTTTCCCATAATTGATTTTTAAAATTAAAATTTAAAAAGGACTAGGAAAATTTTCCTAGTCCTCAGTAGGTAGGATTTCTGGTCATAAATTGCTCTGAACAAAAAATTTCTAGGGCTGTAAATAGGGGGGTTACTATTTCTTTCAGTCACTTTGTCTGTCACACAGTCGCTAAAAGAGTGATCGTTCAATTCTAAATTTTCTTTTTTTCTAAATTTAGATATTTTTTCTAGTTAATTATAAAAGCCTTTTTTCTCCTTAATTATCCTAAATGTTTGAACTAGCCTAATTTTTTTAATTTACTTAATTATTGTAATTGATTTTATTTTGTTATTTTCAAATTCATCGAACATGAATCTGAGAACTTCGAATTTCTATATCATAATTTTTTTCCTTTGGAGGTAAGCAAATGTTTTTATTCAATCAAGATTGGTTGTGGTTAGTGAAAACATAGAAAGTTTGCGCAGTTTTTTATTTATATATTTTTTAACATAATAAATTTGAAAGTTGATATTATCTAATAGTTTATGATATTTGCCCGCTGTTTGCACCAATATTTTTACTTGAAACTT